TTTTTTTTTTTTTTTTTTTTTTTTTTTTTTTTAAGATGGCGCTTCGGTTTTTGAGCTTGACCGGTCCTCTCGATTTTTTTTTTAATTTTTTTTTTTTTAAAGATGGTGGTTCGGTTTTTGAGCTTGCCCGCTGCCCTCGACCCTTACCCCTATGCCTTGCCTTTACCCCTATGCCTTCGAAAAAGCCCTTTGCCCTTGCCTTTACCCGTATGCCTTCGAAAAAGCCCTTTGCCGAAAAAGGAAAACAGGTCGCCGCCCATCAAAAAACACGACCGACCTCATGAAACGATCGATTGAACAAACCCAGCAACGACCGGTCCGTCTCCTAGCCGCGACCGCACCCTTCCCGCCTCCCTCCTAAAGCCAAAACACCCCCGCCAACCTCAAATGATTCCCACGACATTTCCCGAAAGGGAAAAAAAAGCTTGCAGTCAAGGTAAGCGCAGCCTCTGGCTGCGAACTGCTGATGTTCATAGGGGGAGGGGAGGCACAGTGACTGGCCCATCGAAGAAGCTGGGTCCTGATGCTACCGGCTGACCCCTGGCCGGTATCGCCAACCTGCTGTAGCAGGTATCGCACCTGCTGGTGGGTGCAGCTCCCGCATGTTCCCTCGCTGGAGGCTTGAGCACGGATGTGGCTGCTACGGGATTCCCCGTAATAATACTATAATGACAATAAAAAAAGGCGTCCTGTCCAGATTTGACAGGTAATTGAATTGATTGGGCTTAAAGAATTAGCCTTTAAAAAAAAAAAAAAAAAAATGTTGTTTCAGAAAAAAAAAGAAAATGCATCGCAGCTTTCGTCAGCTTGCCGCGAGTTGTCGCACGGCTGCCACACCGGTGCTATGTCGGTACAGGAAGCACGCGAATGGCCTCGATTACCGTCTTCACCCAAATAGAACGCGCGGTCGTTGTAGTCGTAGTAGATTCGTATTGGGCCTATGGGTCGTCTAGATACAGCGATAATAACTAACCCTGCGTTCTATTCGCGTGAAGACCGAGACCGAAGCCTGACCAAAACGGACGCCTGTCCAAGACACAAAAGCCCCGGGGGGTAGCTCAGTTGGTACACCTCCTGAGCTGTTGATATATAGACCTGAGACCGAAGTCAAATGACTGAAATACTACACTCTTGAATTACCGACTACCTAGGGCCGGTCAGTTTGATGATCCTATCTCACGGCCGTCCCCCTCACAAAAAAAAACAAACAAAATACCGAATCCGCAACAGACACGAACCCAACACACCGAGTAACAGAGAAAGACCGGAGATGCGATAGGTGCCAGGTAGAAGAAGTCCGCCACACATTTTTCCGCTGAACTGCGCGAGCTCACGTACGGCGAGAAGCGCGTGCAGGATCTCTCGGAGCGTGGAATCGCGCACTGCGAGAACGGCAGACTGGCTGCCGTAGTCCAGCCCTAATGGCAGGTTTGTTTCCGTTCTTTTCGCCTCCTCATATAGGAATATTCCCACTCCAACTGGCTTGTGTATTTGGACTTTTTCGCTCCGTCCAGCCGACGACTTCAGTCACTCAAAGTGGGAACGAGCACTGCCTCTCGCTCGATGTTGTAAGTGGGTGGCTGCGCCTTTCTGGCTCCATGAAGTAATGCGTGCGTATGAGTGTGTGTGTGTGTGTGTGTGTGTGCGTGTGTGTGTGTGTGTGTGTGTG